GGGTTTGATGGAAGCCTCTGGAAATGGTGATAGGATGTGCACCATTCACGAGATCACAACGTGTCATAAGAACAGTGGTTTGAAGCTGAAATGCCAATGTTTGTAGTACGATCTTTATTTGTTTGACTTTCCCTATTGGGGGACCAATCAATTCTCGACGTATTGATTAACTTATGGTGGGCTTGAGTTCATCTGAAGGAAAATATTTCTCTAGAAGGGTTTTCATAAAAGTTGCTCAAAACAGAGCCATGAGTAACATTACGTACTGTTAATTGCTGTGGTTAACATGCTTCCTATATTAAGATGGGAACTAAGGATAGAACGTGGTTAAGAGAACTCCTATCAATCAGAGCAATTGAGTATAAAAAATTGTAGTTGGTGAAAAAATGCACCACCTGACCCAACCCCTATGGAACAAGTAGCAGAAAGGGTATCAAATTTTCACAAACCTAAACGATCTTCTGCTCGAGGAACTGAAATCTCAGACCAAAAGGAAAAAAATAAAAGGAACTGAAATCTTCTTCTAATAGAAAGTACGGTTATTACATTGACTTGTAAAGAATCTGGTTTCTCTTACACTGTGATCTGGTAGCTGGAAAAGAAATGTGTATGATAATTTTCGGGGACAACAGTGCACATGAAGAATTAATGTCATATGGCATTCCGAAGAGTTTCTTGCCATATTTCAAAAAATACAATCAAATTGAAAAAATAAATAAATAATTATTTGAAATAGTAATCACTGTGAAACAGTGGACGAATTGGAAGATATCATCTCTACAAGCCGGTTATGTAAGCTGCCATTAGTCACAAGGACACCACCAGAAGGATATATATTCCTCCGTCCAAGTTGATCTGCTGCAAGATTAATTTGATCTCCCTTCCAGTCAGTCACCTGGTTTTACAAGGGATAATCTCTTAAATGGAGGATATTGGGATTTCTCAATGGAACAAGTATCAATAAACAAAGTACTGGCTCCTCCTGTTGTACATGTAGGTGTTATTTTGTTTTGTTCGCTCTATTTAGTCCATTGAAGCAAGAGGACAGTGTCATCCATGATGATCGGTCTGTTTTACCTAGTATCAGAAAACACTTCTCCAAGGAAGGCTGGAGAAACTTTGTTTTGCAATAGATATAACAATTATAAATATCTTTAAAAAGAAAATATAGATACCAGAAATGGTCAAAGGCCTCAAATTTTAGTTTTCGGTTCTGAATTCCCATTAGTTAACCTCTTTGCAGTTTATACCAATCCTACAGTGGAGCTTAGCAGCAAATTCATGTTTTATGATACGTATTATGACTTAAATGCACCAAGTTGGATACATTACGCGATACTTCAAAAAGAGTCATAGAAAAATACCTTTCCCCCTGCTTCATGCACACATATAATACCAGCAGCGTGATCCCAAGCCTACATTGTGATAAGTTGAAGTAAGTCATACTCATGTAGTTTCTATAATCCACTTACAACTGGAATGAATTGCAATACCTTGGTAACTTTTTGAACTTTCACATTCTGCATATAAAGAGATACCCTGCCTGAAGCCACCATTATATACTTGGATAAACTGCATGCCAAAAGAAGAAAGGTACGTACAAGTTCCTGTAAGCATTGACCAAGAAGCTGAAAGTAAATTGTAATGGATAATGGAATTTCAGAAATACGGACCCTTAACTTTATTCTAATACGACTAATATGTCAAGAGCCAATTGTACAATGGTGAATCAGATTCAACACTATAGAGAAACTTTTGCTATGTAAACTTGAGAAACACAAGACCATCCTGTGCAAACAGTGGTCAAATTGTGCAACACAGGCAATTGGTGATATAGTATAGATTGTTTCTCTATGCATGCGAGAGTAACAAGATAGAAGAACAAGTTTAACAATCATTTAAAACTACTTTAAGATATCTGAGCAATCTGACTTTTTAGTAGAAGTAGTCAAGGAGGAAGATAATAAACCTTCCGCAACAAGATTTCACAAGAAGAATTTGACCCTCATCAATGCTATCAGCACTAGTTGTTGAGGTGAACAAAGCTGACAGCGGATATGACTCCCAAGCATCACTCGCTCTGATAGAATAGCGTGCCTCTTCCACCTTGCAACATCCATCAACGTAGCATTGCGTCCAAGAATAAGGCATTTTGGCTGTGAGATTTAGCACAGATGACAGGCGTTTTGTCCATGTTCCACACCCTGTATGAGCAACCATAATAATCCCTGATCCAGGTGGAGTGTTTTTTTCTTCCTGGACTTCAGAGGTGGATTTGTTGGATACGTCATTCTGCCAGTTCGGGCAGCCCATGACACCAAATACAATCTGTTTGTCAACTACAAGAGCCAAACCTACCTGAAAATTAGGGTCGTTTATAGGCAACTCATATAGTAATAAGCAATGCAGTGAAACAGGTACAAATTTCTATACAGAATACAGCTCCAATTATTTCTTTTTGCAACATAAAAGTGCTATTACAATGTTTGATTTGACACCATTGGCCTTACTTCTTAAATAAGAAAGCAACATAGCAACCATAATCACTTAAAAGCTGTAATCTCCTTGAAGATTTATTTTCAGTCTGACTAATAACTAAGACATCCATTTACCTCTGGGTATATAGATTTCTATTTTAATAGCTTGGTAGAATTTGTCTGAAATTCCTACTTGAGTTAAGCTTCCCTCTCTCTCTTTCTCTTTGTCTCTTACTTGGATACTTCCATTGTGTAGAAAAGATTGCGTGTTCTTTCTGTTTCTATGATTATTTTCACAATTCCTACTTGAGTTAAGCTTCCCCTCTTTCTCTTTCTATTTGCCTCTTACTTGGATACTTCAATTGTTTAGACTGCGTGTTCTTTCTGTATCTACAATTATATTCACAACATAAGTTACTCCATTTTGTATTTATTTCCTGCATCCTAAGTTTGAATAAAAACATCCGTAGTAATACTATCAGGAAGGTTGGGTTGGAAGCAGAAACTCTTGAATAGTATAATTTCAATAGTGTCAACTTCTAGCAGCATTTGATTAGTTTAGATACAGTAAAATGCATCCTGTAATATCGATACAACATTAGACGCAATTATATAACTACAACTTGATGACCGATGAACAAATTTACAGGCAAATATCTGTTGTATTCTATAGCAAAGTTAATGACAGGTGCCATAAGATTCAAAACTCACTGTCATGACCAAATATCGGGGAGAGGGGGGCGAAAGAAAGAAACTCAATGCAACATTGTTGAAGTTAGTAAGACATACCACATACAACGCCTGATTTCCTTTCACAAATCCTTGTGTGCCATCAATTGGGTCCAGTACCTGCATTATGCTTCTCAGTTCATTTGGGAAGGCAACAATGTTTAACTAAAAACTGCAACCATGAAAGAAAGCAACAATTTTTAAGGAGAGAACAAAGGAACACACACAAAGCTGCAATCTTTGTAATGTTCAATTCAAGCATACGATGCAAACGCAAATCCGAAACAAACCCAATATGTGGCCGGCTGAGCTCCGAAAGTAGAACCATCCTGGCCCCCTCTGTCAATGGCTTCCAATACATGATCAGGCGTCCATGGGTTTTCTCCATGGCTGGTCTTGCTAATAACCGCATCGAAAACTGGGCCTACTAGATTATTTGAACGTACAAACGCAGAGTCTTCTTCCGCCACCAAAGGAATGGAAGGGAAGCGTTTACCAAGCTCTGCCACCACCAAACTCCAATCAAAATTTGCTAAAAAAATAAATACCAAAAACAAAAGGACTAATTAGCAATTACCCAAACTCAAGAGGGCCTGGACACCAAAATCCGCCACCGTGACCGGAGTCCGGTCGTTTTTTTCAACAACCCGTCGCTTACTCGATAGCAAAGACGATTGGACTTCGACGCAGAGCGCGCAAGCTCTCTCTACGGCATCGACGGCTGCTTCCAGCTCCCGATGGTACTTGGCCTTCTCACTGCCGAACGGCAAACTCGACCTCACGCTGAAGCGTCGCCTGCGGTCCGCCGGATTGGGCTGACTGAATCGGACGGTCGAGAAATGTCGGGCTGAGTGCACGAGAATCATGGCGGGTTTAACGTTCGGCTGTATAGTTTGAGTTAAACAGTTGTTAAAAAGCGGTTGGTGGAGACTGAAGCCTGCCGTAGTGGGCCTGAAATTCGGAGCGAAAATTTTATACGGCCCAAATGCAGTCTGGGCCGTTTTTTAAACCCTTCTCTTTAGATTATGACTTCAAACTCGCCCTAAATATTGATTTATTATATTTATTTTTTAAAATGTAAAATTGTTTGGTTAGAAATATTAATCTTGCTAGTTGAAAAAATAATTTCAAACCATTTGTGCTTAGCTAGCTTAGACTCATTTTGTGCTCCTCTTTCTTGGACCAATAATCTCGTAACAACCTAACACAATTTATACTCATGTCACAAAGTATAAGGTTTTATAGGTCATTCGATAAATCAAGTACATTTGCCAACGTCTTGATAAAGAGGCTATTTTGTTGCTGATAGGGTTTAGAAGCCTCATGCCATGTACGATATTGAATGGGATACGATATTGTGGGACATGACTTATATGAAGGAAATGGACGATATTGAATGGGATACGATATCGAATGGGATAACTAACTACTCTTAACCAATTGAATTACAAAGCTCTTACCGTGCCTCATCTATAGTTTAGATAAAATCATTTTAACATTTTTACCCCGATCAAGAATAATTCAAAACATCTAAATCAGAAAAGATCTCTTATCATGTAAAGGATAATTATTTAAAATTCGGAAGACAGAAACTTCCGGAATCCCACGTAGAAAATCTTGTCCTTATCCTGAAGTTTAGAGCTATCCTAAGACACGTGGCCCTCGCTCACTGGATAAGACCCCACTGCCCCCTTGTTTTCATTGCAAAGTCCGCTCACGCAATCCATCAACATCACTGCCGTCTGTTTCCCATTTTTCAGCGGTCAACAAAGCCATAGATTTCTAAAACCTGGGATCCATCTACTGAATTCACCTTTTTCTCTCTTTACCCTCTCTATATATACAAGCAAGATCAATCCAAAGGCAAAACTGATAAATAAAAAAACAATTGCAACCCAAGATTTTTGGTTGCTTTGCAAATTCATCTGTGGGTGGGATATTATTATCTGGGCATGAGCTTGAGGTACGTGAGTAGAGTGGTGTACCAGGCAGGGATGAGGGTTATGCAGGGGGTCAAAGAGCAGGCTCCAAAGTGTGGTGGTTCATCATCTTCTTCTTCTTCATCTTGCTCTTCAAAGCAGGCCTGGCGTTTCTCTTCATCTATTGATTCGGGTGCTGTCAAGGCTGCCAACAGTGACAAGGTTAAGCAAGCAGAGGAGTCTCTCAGGACTGTCATGTACTTGAGCTGTTGGGGTCCTAACTGATCAGCGGTGTCGTTTTACTCTTTAATCTAAACCAAAGCAAGCAGCTACAAACGAGATTGATCAAATTTCAGAGGTGTCTTGCTTTTAGCTCTTCAGCTTATTGCTTTTTGGTGTAAATTTTGATGGGACGTGTGTAAATTTCTTTTGTGCAGTTTGTATACATGTATATTATTTACCTTACCCCTTTCTATCAAATTTCAAGACAATATCCTTACACCCGAATTCGATCTCTTTCTTTCCAATAGCTTGTATCTCAATGTATGTGAGCAAAACTACCCTATTTATTACACAAAATGAATGAAAATTGAAAAGTTAAGGACATTGGGAAAACTCAAAATCCACTGGTATGATAAATAATTGATGGCTATGATGACTTGGATTAAAACATGGATGAATTCAGTGGTCATGGATCAAAATTCCATGGGCTCATTTTAGAAAGACGGAGTTCAATTATGTTCACTATAGCCCAAGCCAAACCCATTGGTCTTCATGCCACATGCTGCAAGCCCAATCTAATCTGCTAACTAACCACCTTCTCCGGTCTCCACCACAAATAAAAAATCTTTCAAAATAAAAGCGATAAGCTTCTGTTCCCCCGTTCTTCTTCTTGCTCTTGTCTTGCCACTACGAACACACGCATTTACCTCGAGAAACAGAGCAAAACCCTTCACCTAAAATCAGATAACATGTTCTCGCTCAAGCTTTGCAATAGCCACCATAACTCACCCTTCTTCTCAAACCCTCATCAACTTCAACAAGCAGCAAAAACTCAAAGTGCCCATTTTGCACCATGCAAAATACTGAGCCCCCATAAAAGAAAACTTGGCGTGAGAGCAAGTAGCAGTGGACAAGGAGGAGAAGCAGCTGAGAAGAAAAGCAGCGAAAGACGACCTTTCCTAACCCTAGAAGAAGCTGGTCTAGTAGAAATATCTGGTCTCAGCACTCACGAGAGGTTCCTATGTCGTTTAACGGTAAGTAGAAATTAATATATAAACATTTTTATTTTTTAATTTCCTCTCTAAATATTTATTCATTTTAAATTTTGTGTATAAATATGTACACATAGATATCGTCTTTGAATCTGCTGAGAGTGATATCAGAGCAAGAAGGTTGCCCAATTGAGGAGCTAAATGCAGGCAAGGTATGCGACTGGTTTGTGAAGGATAAGCTGAAAAGAGAGCAGAACATAGACTCTGCTGTCCTTCAATGGGATGATTCTTCTGAGCTTCTCTAACTAAACAAGACTTTGTAAAAACGATATCCAGTTTTGAATAAAACGCTTGCTCGGCTCAATTGTCTTATGCTTACAATTTAGGAGGACGCCTTTCGTGGTTTTGTCACGCTTTTTGGCATTGGAAAGCAAATGTTCCAAGTATTTTTATTTTCTTGGTTTAAATAATTTAATAAGAATTCAACCAAAACATTCTTTAATTTTTTTTGATGAAAAAAAAACATTCTTTAATTTGAATTTGAATAAGGGTTCCAGGTTGTTTTCATCGCCAAGGCGACTTCAAACGCGTAATTGACGCTCAAATTGAATATATTTTTTTTTTTTTTAAATTCTTGGTATGGAATCTAAGACCTAGTTATCTCTATCCAGGTCTTAATCATGGAGGTCATGTCCAAAGCCAAATTGCTATTTAGATATAGCTGTGGGAGAATCGTTGTTTTGGGATAAATTACAATTCCTTATATAAAGATAAGAGTTCAACAGTACCACTAACTTATTAGATATGAGATTTGTTTAGCAAGAGAAAATTATTTATTATCTTTTGCAAATTAAAAGAAAACATAAATAAACTTTTTTCCCTCTCTCAAAAATGAAAAGACAAGTCCCAGCAGTTGCAACACCTGGTGACCAGTAGTAGGCTCAATTCCGCGAGTGGGGATTAGTCGAGGTGCTCGCTTGCTTGGACACCTCATGATACTTACCCAAAAAAAAAATACAAGTTCAAATTGCGTGTCTTAGGCCAATTGGTCAAATCAATGAGCTCGTTTCTTTTCACTCAATTTCAAATTTCAATATATATATATATGACTAATTTAAAGTAATTCAAACTATGATTTGTTTGTTGTATTAAAAATAAATTGCAAAACATATCGATAATAAATTAAAAATTTGTTGTGGGCTGAGTGGGTGGCAGTTCATTGTATGCTATTCTCCAATTTAGCCTTTGATTGATTGGCAGTCCATTGTAGCAAAAAATAAAAAGAAAAAGAAAAATCAAAGTCTAAAATGTTGTTGCGTTGCGTCAGCTTGGAGGAAAAACAGTGAAAAGCTTCTGTGATTTGTTGGTCATCACTGGCACCACTTAACTCAAGCATTTCTCGTGTTCACATTCCACATAGGATTTAATTAATTAATTAAACGCGCACTCAAGAATTTGTTAAGAAAGCAAATAAGAAATTAACGATTTAATTAAACTAATCCCACCAAAACCCACCGTTAACAAAAAATTACAGTCTGAGACTCCCTCGGCTCAGGCCTCTGATTTCATTAACACAAAGTCAACCCAGCAGCCTCGCGTCAACGGTTTGTCTTTTGCGACCCAGACTTGGGCTTGGTTCACTTTCACAGAAAAGTGGAAAAAGCATTTTATCCTCAGTACGGCGTCGTTTCCAGCATTGTCCAAGTAGTAAAAGTACAAAGCGGGAGGAGAGGACGCCACAAAAGGTGAGCACAAAGGCCGGGCGTGAACTCAATCGGTCAAATTCAATTAAATCCTCCCCCTCAGTTCCGATTTGCCCCTATCACTTGTCACCACCAACCAACCCAGACGCAGAGTTACAGTCCGTGAAGCCGGTAACCGACGCCGTTTGACTTTGTCTAATGCTCTGAGAGATGGCCATAGCTGACCAAAAGTCGTCGTCCGACGGAAAAGTCTGGGGCTTCTTGAAGCGGCCGTTTCGGCCGTCCGGGAACACCACCGTTACGACGTCGTCCACATCGTCGTCGCACAACGCTCCTCAGCATAGCAACGGTCCTCAAGGCGACGGATCAAATCCACAAGCTACGAATTCGGTGTCGTCCGTCGCCAGGTCGCTGCTCCCCACTCGCCGTAGACTCAAGCTCGATCCCCACAATAAACTCTATTTTCCTTGTACGTCTTATGTAATCCATTTTATTAATTTATTATAATTATATACATACATACATACATACATACATACATACATACATACATATATATATATATATATATATATATATATATATATATATATATACACACACACACACACACCATATTTGGTATGTTACAGTTTAATTGCGTTTGCCTAAAATAGTTGTATATTGTGATAAATTGTTGTGGATTTAGATTTGCTTCTAGATTTTAGATTATGTTGCGGATTTTAGTTAGTACGAAATTATTTGTTTTAGCTTGATGATTGTCCGAACATAAGGATTAAAGTTGAGCTAATCGTGTAGCTCATCAGCGATATCGATGATTTTTGTATTGCTATTCAGAATTCTTAGAATGGTTTAATGGCTAAAGAGGCCAATCAAGCAGTTTATTTAGGTATTTCTTTGTGATTAAAGATGTATGCAGGTTTGCTCGCTTTATTGCTGCCTGATGATTCATTTGGTTATTTATATGTATGAACTCTATGTTTCTTGAAGGTGAACCTGGAAAGCAGGTTAGGAGCGCCATTAGAATTAAAAACACAAGCAAGTCATACGTAGCTTTCAAGGTACCGTAACCATCTTATGTTTACAGTTTTCTTTCTGCTAATGTCGATGAATTTGTTAAAGCTTCTTATCCTGTTTGAATTTTTCTAATGAGTTGCTTACTTTTCTTACCGTAGTTTCAAACGACTGCACCAAAAAGTTGTTTCATGCGTCCTCCAGGAGCTATTCTCAGTCCTGGCGAAAGCATTATAGCAACTGGTAATGGTTTTTTTATAACTTTTTGCAATTTCATCGAATGCCCTTTTATATTATGGAGTTGGAACCATTATTATCTTTTTATTAAAGTGGTTTCTTAATTTTGCTTTTCTAGCAAGTTTATCTTAATTTTGGTTTGTGATGACAGTATTCAAGTTTGTGGAGGTTCCGGAGAACAATGAAAAATTGGTGGATCAAAAGAGCAGGGTTAAATTTAAAATCATGAGCCTGAAGGTGAAAGGAGCAATGGACTATGTACCCGAGCTGGTGAGTTGCATGCATCCTTTAAAAACTATCTTGAGTTTTAGTGTTAATTTATTAACTAAATTTGATAACCATGTTCAGAAATATTTGATTTGGGTGTTCTCTTTGGTGTGTTTATTTATAGGCCTGAACATCTCTATAACTGAGCATATTTAGATTTTTCATGTATGTTTAATCTTAGTTCTATTTTATGGTGGTACATTTAGTATATAATACTGATTTAGAATATTAACTCTTTTAATTAAAAGCTGATTGAGTGTAGTTAATAGCAGTCTTCATTCTGAAGAAGTTGTAGCCATGTCTTCAGAAACGGTATAAAGCTTCAGTTTTTAATACATTTGAATTATCTTAGCTGTTGATTGCATAGTTTCTTCATAGTAGATACAAGTTTATATGAATTGGCAGTCATGCTGAAAAGTGAAAAGCTTGTGTCTGCTGTTTGCATTTATGATATGCCATAAAATTCAAATTTGTTTTGAATTTTTTGAATGATCTAAACTGAGCATGTGTCTGCTGTTATGGTACTCCTGCTGCAGAGCATACATGTTTCAAGAGACTATAACTTTTTTGTTTCTTTAAGGCTATGGAAAAACTGAAGTGCCATTCATGTGGAACATTCTTTTGAAAAAAAATTCTGGCACTAACCTTAGAAATTCTTTCTTGGGAACAGTTTGATGAGCTGAAGGACCAAGTGGCAATAGAGCAGATCCTACGGGTTGTCTTTCTAGATCCAGAGCGTTCTACCCCAGTAAGTGTGGTTGATGTCCTTAACTTGATGTCAATACTTGTATTTGTAAAGTGTATATCATGAACCTGCTTAGGCACATGTTCGCTGTTCACATTTATGATACTGATACTGAAAGGGATACCTGTTTTTGTTTCTTCAAGGCTATGGAAAAACTGAAGCGTCAATTGGCTGATGCTGATGCTGCACTTGAGGAACGCAAGAAACCTCCAGAAGATGCTGGTCCGAAGATTATTGGAGAAGGGCTCGTGATAGATGAATGGGTGAGTACTTTGTTCTGTTGTGATGCGAAAGTTGGTTGTGAAATGAATATCCCCTTATTATGTGCTTCATCCATTTTTATCGTTTCTTTCTGTCTTGTTTAGAAGGAGAGGAGGGAAAGATATCTTGCTAGGCAGCAAGTGGAAGGGGTGGACTCGGCATGACCTGGTGCTTCATTTGTTTTGTAAGGTTTTCGCTGATTGGGTGGAAAAATCAATAGTCCACTCTGGTCTATCATTTGTAACCCTCTTTTATCTTTTCCCGCAGATGTTGTATTCAAAAAAATGACGAGGACAGTCCAAATATACTTGGATGTAAAAAAAGAAAACAATGTGAAGTGGAGAGTCTCTTGTAATGTGGGAGTACTCTGAACTTGGCTAGTAGTCACATCTCTATGTAGATAAGGCGATTTTGTGTTGATTTCGTGTCTCTTTCGTGAATAAAACTGGTCTTTCGAATGATGTGGAAGTGTACAAGTTCAGTTGAGCATCTATTAACATTATTACCATTACTTTTAGGCAAATGTTGGTACAGTTACGGTATATGCAGTATCTCTTTGCAAAATCTTGGATCTTTAAGTAAGAAATTAGAAATATGGTTCAGAGTAGCAAGGCCAAGTATGAAACTCTCAACCATTATTTGACGGACGGGTGTGAAGCTCCTAGGCAAGCATTAAGAAGTTGAAACTTTGATATCTGCTTTTACTTGCCTAAACTTTTAGAAGCCTTGGGATTTGGTCACCGTCAAATTTGTAGAATGAATAAATAAATAACAAGAAGAACAGCGGCCGCTGGTAACACCAGAAACCATGGCTTCCTACCAATGGTTTTTGGTTTTCTTTTGGGATTATCCAAAACCACTACTAGAAACCACAGCTCCCTCTCCCTCTTCCTCTATATAATAGACTCACTACTCAGAGCACCCCTTAAGACAAAGGCTTGTCCAATTCAGCTACAAATTACAATACAATCAAGAAGAAGAAGAAGAAGATCAATAAGTTGTGTGAAAAGAAAAGGCAAAATGAGTTATTGGGTAGGTGCGGGGGCAGGCACAGGCACTGTGGAAGGCCGTAGAGATGATGATGCTGATGATGCGAGCAGCAGCAAGCTCAACAAACAGAGACACTTGTTCTTGTCATGCAATAGTAATAGTAATAATCCAGCGAATGGAGGGAGCGAAAGTGATAGGAGAAAGCAGCAGGCTATGGCCGAAGAGTCCCTTCACAAAGTCATGTACTTAAATTGTTGGGCACAAAGCTAGCTAGCTAACAGCTTGCTTGCTTGGCCCAGAAACACACAAACAAACAAGCACAAATTTGAAAATTCATTTGTTCCTACCTGTAACTTGGGATATGAAAATGTTTTTAGTCTCTTTATCTCTATGCTTGCAGTCATGGCTATTCTTCCTACAATAATTAGTTTGGGATGGTTAGAAGAAGAAACACATGCTCCACACAGACTCTCCGATCAACACAATACAAACAAGAAAGTGTAGCTCTATGGAACAATTAAATAAAGAAACCTGTCTATTATTTTGAACAATAAAAAAAATTGACAAAGACAAGTACAAAAGATCAAACAGAATGCAATATTGATGGCACTTATAACAAGTCGTGTAAAAGAAATGGGAAAAAAAAAAAATTAGAAAAATATGTTTAACGAGTATAGCCGAGCGGCTATACTGGGGTTTTTTTATTACTGTTTTTTAATAAATCGTATGGCCGCGCGGCTTTACCGTTTAAACATATTTTTTCTGTCTTTTTAATAAACAGTTTAGCGGCACGGCTATACTGTTAAATATAATATATTGCAAGAGTATAGCCGCGCGGCTATCCGGGGGTTTTTAAAATTTCTTTGATAAATAGTATAGCCGGGCTGCTATACTGATTAAATATATTATACATACAAAAGTATAGCAGCGCGGCTACACTGGGACCTAAACTGGGGACCTTCTCTTTTTTTTTTTTTTTAATAAATAGTATAGCCGGATGGCTATTCTCTTCAAACATATTTTTCTATTTTTTCAATAAATAGTATAGCCAACGGCTATACTGTTAAATATAATATATTTCAAGAGTATAGACGCGCGGCTACACTGGGGTATTTTTTGGCGCGGCTAAACTGGGGACCTTTTATTTTTTATTTATAATAAATAATATAGCCGCGCGGCTGTACAGTTAAATATAATATATTTCTATAGCAAAGCCGCGGGGCTATACTGAATTTATTTTACCTTTTTTAATAAATAGTATAGCCGTACGGCTATACGATTAAATATAATATATTATGGTCCCCGCTCTCAGAATTTCCTGCGTTTCCTACTGGGGCACAACGACATGTCGTTCTTTGATTATTTTTGGTAGAATAATCTCGACCTTTCATAAGGATTTTTGACATAGATCCCGCGGCTTAAATTGCACCTCCCATGAAACTTGATCTCAGCCATCCATTTCTCAGAATTTTCTCTGTAAATTAATCCCAGCGCTCAATTTTCTTAACCCTCCCCTCCTATTTTCCTTACATTTTTTTGCTGGGGCGGCGTTAAGTAAGGGGGATTTCTCTCTCTCACACACGACTATGACGCCGTGGGAATTCGAACATGAGAACTTGAGTCTGCAAATTAGGGCTATTTTTCACTAGATTAGATCCAGTTGGCGCTTCTCTCTCTTCTTGTTTTGGTAAGTTATTTCCTTCTATCAATTATGTTTAATTGATTTTATTATTTGTTTATTTAATTTTAAGTGTTAATTTTGTTATTAGTTTATTAGTTTTGACAAGTGTCTCTCTTGTTAAGAATAATTAAAGTAAAAAATAAATGCACATTTGAGGAAAATATGGATGCAATTTTCTTTCAATGCATTTAATTTTGCACAATGTGTAGATGGAATGGGATGTTTGGTGTGGCCCAAAAGTCTGCCTTGTTGACACCCAAACCTAGCACATCTATCCAGAATTATGACCCTGTGCCCCATGAAGCTAAGCCTTTTGTTTTATGTCCCATTACACATATTGTGGCTTGGATATTCTAAAATGGCATTCTAAGAATGTATCCAATGATGTGAAAGATACTTCGAATTTTGAGCTCATAAACTTGGCTTGAGAAACAAAGCCCATGGGCTAAGAATTCAGGCAAAGATCATGTAATAATAGTGTTGGTGAAGAATTCCTGGGATTTTTTTGACATAGAATGGTTCGGTTCTTGAGACTGATGAAATGCAAAACCCAATAAAGCTTTTAACTGAAAGGCAACCAAATGACATTGGAGTCCAACATCCATCCACATTCAGATGATGATATCATGGCATTGGCATGGAAATGGAAGATGTGAGCTTTGCTGGTGCAGCTGAAATCAAAATCATCCTTCTCCAATTTTATCATCAACAGTTACATAAATGAGAAGTTTATTAGATGATCTACGTGGGCAACTGTGGTTAACGTTAGCCTTTGATCTTTAATGCATCGCAAGTCTCTATGTAGAATTCTACCACCTTTACAAACTGCTCTCAGCAAGTCTCAATTCGCCCACCTGGGCTTTTATTTGAGGTTCCACATGGGCTCTGGACTCGTCGGTCTTTTTAAATAAATAAATAAATAAAAAAAGACTTGGGGCATTTTGGAGGAATTTACAAATGGCAGCCAGTGAAGAAATGGACGGTGTAACTGTTGAGTAACGACTTTGGACCAAGAATAGTAAAACCGTTTTCTTATCCTCGTACGTTACCAGATCCTTTCCCTTCCCTGCGCTAGCTGCTACCACACTCCCGTCTCGTCTCATCTGTTGACTTTTCCCTCTGACCACCACCGCCCAAATAATCACCTCTCCTAGGTCTAGCTATTTTATTATTTATTATCATTTTTATTATTTGATTTGGACGAAAAGCCATTGACAGAGATTTCGCCACATGAGACAGTTGCCTGGCTGGCTGGCTCCTATTATCGATCATCGTATGGGAATTTCCTGGATGGATCAATGATCTCATCTGCTAGCTTTCCTACCTTATCCCTTTATTATTTATTTATTTGCAATTTGATTTTGACAGTAAAACGGTGCGCACTTTTTCTACACAAATAGTGCTGCTAATTGCTAATTAAACTCTATCCTTTCCTTCACACTCCTCAACTGCGTCAATCCTCCTAACTGGGAGGGGTCCACGTCAATCCTCCTAGTTGGGGAGTTGATCAAGTTTAGGTGGAAAAGAAATAATTAATGCACAGATGTTTACGTACGTGTCACAGAACAGAAGTTGGGCATCTGGTGAAATCTCAGGCATGCAATTTGGAAAAATTCAGGTCCACCAAAAAAAAAAGATGCTGTCGAAAGAAGAAGTTCACCTGAAATTATAGCACCAACCAATTGACTCATCTTTGGTGGGTTCTAGCTATGTATGCATTGCTTAGTTGCCAAGCTAATTAATTCTTAATTAATAAGTAATTAGCTCTCTTTCAACGGCCAAAGTTTATTAACTACGCCCCACGTCTTTCAACGGACAATAAACTGCCATTTGCGGTATACATGTTTGTCCCATTTGTTTTCATTATCCGTTTCGTTTTTCATGGGTGGTCGGTTGTCTCTAGAAAAGCAGCTTACCCAACCATGCAGGCCTCCCCGTGTAATCTTTTTGGCTGACAGTCAACAGCTTATTCTCATGTGGGACTCGTAGAAAAAGCTTATTCTCATATAAGAATGAATATTATTTTCTTAAATGAGTCAAATCGTCTATTTTTTAGGCTTTTAATCCTCTTTCACTAAAATATATCCTCTATAAGTAATTTTGTCTCAAATATATATCCCAAAACATGATCCTCAAAATTTAAGTGAAGTGGTCATCTGATCATGAGACAAACTAATGTTATGGGCCAAAATCCCAAATATGGATACATGCTATATATCCATAGGCGTAACTACCTTAATGACTAAGGTGGGCTATAGCTTAGGGGGAGTTTTGGGAATTAAAAAAATCAAACCTATATATTTTACTTGTTTTAAACATAGCCCAATATATATATTAATTAACCTATTACTAGTCCAAAAAGTTCAATTCTTTATGAGTTTAATTGCAAGACATCAATAAAAATACACATTAAAATAGGTACACTTTCAATTATGTTGTCGAACAAATTTTTTATTTTATAATATGTGCTTTTTGGTTTAATTAGTATGTATTTGTTTTATGTTAAACCTTATTGGAAATTAGCATTTAGCCATGCACTCGAGATCCTAGGTCTGATTCCCCTTTCCACAAATATCGCTTGTATAAAAAGAAAAGAAAAAGGTATTGAAAATTAGTCAATAAAATTATGAACTAGCGTAATTTATATGATTTAATGTATACTTTTATTTCTAAAAAAACTATAGAAACTAAAAGTAAAAAAAAAAATCATTAGATTTTAAGGTAATAACTTTAGCTAGCACACCCGTTGAAAAATTCATGGTTCCGCATAATATATCCATATACCATGCTAGTGAGTGCCACCCAAATGTTTTGCAAATTTCATCTTATTATATGTTAAGAGTACTATTGCTTGTTATTAAAAGTTCTAGATGATCTTTCATCATCGGTCATACAACTTACCTATATATATATATATATATGTTTATTTGAGTTGACAAGCACCATCTCGCTGTCCCTCTTTCTTTCGCTGATAATTTTATGTTAACTACATATACCTATTTTACTCATCTAATCTAAACGAATTATGTATTAATATATATAATGCTACTTAGTACTATATACTTTAATCCTCAAATAATTGGTCTATTACGAATTTTACTTCAATTATTTGAAACATTTATTTTTTTTTCAGTTTTCTATATTTAGATCATTGAAATACAATGCAACGTAAACCTTAAACGAAGGATGTCTCTCAAATAAGACTATTGTAACTTTATGCAAGTATATAGCATGCATGCATGCAACAAATATTGTCGCAATTTTAATACCCATGCATGGACTATAGTAGTATAGTTAGTCAAATCCTTCGTACGTATTGATGATATTGCCCAACTGTTTTGCTCTGAAAAGACCTAGACTGAGAAAACCTTGTTTTTTTTCTGGCTGCAAATAATTAATTTACAAAGTGTCGTGGAAATTGTATACTCAGAAGCTATGAGTATTGTTTTGCTGGATGTTAGGAGAACGTACATGTGTTGCCGTATCACATAATTAAGTATGTAATCATCTCTCAGCGTGTGTGTGACAGACTAAGATGGTTTTGTAATATTCGATCGACTAAAAACAGTACAAGATTAAGTTTAGTCAACAATATAATATCTTGCTAATGTCATCAAATAATATCTTGCTCATTATCGCTAATTTAAAAAATAATAATAATATCTTGCTCATGCATAATAATAATTTACGAAGCTTCAAGAAGAAGAAAATCTGGCCTCCTTCCACTATATTTTAATTATCTTTTGTAAAAAGAAAATAAAGGAAGTAATTAAGCATTTTCCTAACCCAGCTGTACCTCAAAGATCGATATGGTACGTGGTCGGTTTATAGGTGCCTTAGCGGTGCTGCAAGACACGTGTCACGTGTTAGCCAGCTTAGGGTGGTTTCCGTGATCTTACTACACTCTCCTTGAATAACGGTCATATGACCGTTCTTCAGCCCATTTAAATATTCAAATTAGTGCTTTCTAATTTAGATTTAGTTCTAAACTTTTCTATCACGTAAAGGCTAAAGCCAAACCTCTTTACCTTGATCTCAAAAAAGGTTTGTGACTCCTCCCCCATTTAAAAAAAAAGTTTATGAAAGAGTATTGTAATGATTTTAATTCCTACTCTCTTTTTTTCATGTGTTTATTAACATATTGTATAAAGAATAAATTTAAATTTGTGACTTCCCCACATTTACTAAACGTACATAATTAATGAGTTCAACGTTAAAATAAGTAATTAAATATCTTCAAAATTAATAATGAGATCAATTAAGGAGAGTTGTCTAACTCGGAAATTTCCAATTCATGGATTTCCTCATTGCAAACATTTTATATTAAAAAAAAAAAGAAATAAAAAAAAAGGGTTTCGTGTGAAATGGAAAGATTTTATTCATGTTTGAACTACGATTTCTAACCGTTAATTAAATATGAATATCCAAATTTAGGAGCATTGAGATAGAAACTACACTGTTTCACTTTCACTTGTCAAATGTTGCCAACTTGACAAATCATCATTATGCCATGACCACGATTAACGAAGAAAAAATGTCACTAGCGTCCAGCTTTGTACTATATCTGATACGTGGGCCCCCTTACGTAGATATTCCTCCGACACTCCGCAAGTAGGCCCGCCCCGAACATCTAAGCCGTTCCTTCCTCCTCAGAAACATCCAACGGTTCAAGTCCCATCAGAAAAACGCGTCCGTTACTCTCCCTCTCTCCCTCTATATATTTATCTCCATGCACTATCATCACTCAATCCACCAGGACCACCAATTACTTCTCACTACAAACACAACATTTTTCTCAGTCTTAATCCCTCACCATAATTAAGACTTGATTATAATTATAAATTAAAATGGCATGGATTGCTTCCTTGAAGATTGTGCTAATTTCCAGCGGCGTGGTGGCGTTGGCGTGGGCTATGAAGCTCTCCGTTCCACTGGTGATGGAATTCGTAGCCTCTTACTTGCCGCTCATTTTCCGATCCTTGCTCAGGCCTCCGTATATCTACGTTCTCATCAACGGCATCATCATCACCATCGTCGCTTCCTCGAGGTTCCACCACGACCGCTCGCCTCAGCCTAAGCCTCAACCGGAAGAGTCTGAATCGACCGTCTCGGAGACGCCGGCGGTTTACGAGCAGCAGAGATATCTAGAGCCTCTAGTTCATGAGGAGGTGCACGAGGAGAGGCCTGCGGTGATCAATGGTTCTGTAGAAGCAGAGCCTGAGCCTGAGCGTGAGCCGGAGGTTGAAGATGTTCGTGTAGACGAAGACAAGGTTGTGATCTCGAGCTCCACGTGGACGCCGCCGAAGAGTGTGATGAAATCCAACGAGATTGCTTCGCCGGAGGTTGAAGATATTCGTGTAGACGAAGACGAGGTTGTGATCTCGAGCTCCAGGTGGACGCCGCCGAAGAGAGTGATGAAATCCAACGAGATTGCTTCGCCGGTGGAGAAACCTCTGGTTTCTGTAAGATTCAGCCACCGGAAACCGGCTAGATCCAGTCCTGAAGGTATTTAATTCTCAATTTCGTGGTCGTAATTTTCTGTTTAATTAATATAATCGTAATTAGCGTCTAGGTTTAGAGCTTCGTTTGCCGGTAGTGAAGTAACAGTGTTGAAGTTTGAAAACAAAGTAGAGTTCAAATGTGGCGTGCGTATATGTCTATTTCGTACACGGTGCGATTGAATTGTCTATGATACCCTTTTATAAATGAAAGGTTGAAAAGTAAAAAATGCTCTGGCTCATAAGGATACAGTGGTCATTTAGCGATTTATTAACCGGGAAACATTTTGACAGGTGGGAAGCCGTTGAGAGTAGCGAAGCCAAAACGGCATGACACATTGGAGAACACGTGGAAAGCGATAACGGAAGGGCGTTCGATGCCGTTGAGCAGGCACATGAAGAAGAGCGAGACGTGGGAGAATCACGGCCGTCAAGTTCAACACAAGGTTGACTCGGCAGTGGACACGTCAGCGGTGCTGAACTCAGAGACGTTCAAGGACTGGACGAATCAGCAGCAAGTGACAGCTTCGGCTGGGTGCGTAGGGAAGCTGAGGAAAGAGCCGTCGCTGGGCCAGGACGAGTTGAACCGCCGAGTTGAAGCGTTCATAAACAAGTTCAATGAGGAAATGAGGTTGCAGAGACAAGAGTCGTTGAATCAATACATGGAGACGGTCAAGCGTGGAAGCCATTAAGCACATATATGGTCAAAGTTTATTTTTTATTTTTATTTTTCTCCTAATTTTGTCAATAGAGATTTTTAAAATTAGATTGAAATTAATTTCAATCAAAAAGAAAAGAAAAAGATGGGAGTTACAAATTCACAATTATTATTTTTTTGGGGTTGTTTCTGTTTTTCAAAGTTCCATTCGATTCATAATTCATGTAACAAAGTTATATAGTCATAGAAAAGGAAGGATATGTATGTCAGTCAGTCAGTCTGTAAAGAAAGAAACATTTTTTCTTTTCTCCTCTTTTTGGTTGTATTACAACTTTGTATGTATCTTCGTCTAGATTGTGTTTTTTAGTTGTCAATTTCATTTTCTCTTACTTTAGTCTTTGGCAAAACCATAATTTTGAATTTAGTGAATAAAAAACTTAAAATTAGTGAGATAAGAAACTCCGATCCGAGACTTCTGGAAACTCAATAGTCCATAATTATGATTAGTCAAAATAGTTAGTGACTGAGTGACCGAAACATGGCTTTCCATCTGTCTAAATTATAAGGACCCTACCCTATAGTTTTGGGTGAAGCTCATTAATTTATAATTGATTTGCTTGGTTGGTCCTTATCCAAACCCACAATGAATGACGCTTTTTTTTTACTTGTTGAGAACTTTAGAATGAGACGAGTTATTTATCTTAGGTTTAATTACACCAATGCTCCTGAAATTTCAGTCAAATCTCATTTCTCTTTCAAACTCAAGAAGACCCACTTTTATTCATTCACCAAAATTTGGTGACCCACTTCATCTTCTGCTGTCAACTTCATCAAAAAGTCTGTTAACTTTGATGACATAGCATGGATGTTTTTGTAATTTCGTATACTTGAATTATTATTCACTAATTGAGTGAGTGATGTGGCAAGTGGAGACCACCTCCATATAGATAAAAACATAATTAAAAATTAAATAAAAACTTAAAAACTACATTTAAAAAAGGATAAAATGCCGAAACCTAACAATCACCACCATCACCAAGCAAGACACAGCCACAACCACCTCTTTGGGAACTACTTCAATAAGTTTTTTTTTAAAATTTTTTCGTCAATCCTCAAGAAGTTCATGGGATAAAAAAAATATAACAATTGAAAGCGCATCATTGGAAACCTTTAGTTTGTGGGTGACCATTGGACTAACCGTTAAAGCATTCTAATTTTCCCATTTTTGTATGGAGTTGACAGCAGAGGTAAAGTAGGTCACCAAATCTCGGTCAAGGGATGAAAGTGAGTCATTTTAATTTGGGAAGGCAAAATGAGATTTGACCGAAGTTTCAGGGGGCATTGATGTAATTAAGCCTTTATCTTAGTGGAAAAGGTTAATTTCAATTTAGTAACATGAACTCTTACCTTTAAGGCACATTTGCCTATGCACTCTCAATTTTAAAGATTACATACCCTAAACTTTTCAATTTTGTGCAATATGGTTCCGGCATTAACTTCATCGTCAAAAATTTTGTTAATTGCTTGCATGACAAGTCTGGGTCCCACCTATTCACTTATTTCAACGTCAGTTGAAGAGAGTTAAAAAACAGTTCGGTATTAATGTGTGTAATGTGTTCTATGAGAAGACACCAATTATCCGAAAATACTCTTCAACTAACATCGAAATAAGCGAATAGGTGAGACCCATGCATGCAAGCAATTAACGGAAATTTTGATGTCAAAGTTAACGCCAAAACCAGATTATAAATAATTGAAAAGCTTAAGGTATGTAATCATTAAAGTTGAGAGTGCAGGAGCAAACGTGCCTTAAAGGTAAGAGTTCAGGGTACGAATCGAAATTAACCCTAATGGAAATGTAGTATAACTTCATTCCGTTGAACCTCTTTCAAAATCTGCAAACAACAAGAAGCCCCTTTCAGACTCCGCTACCCAGTAGTAACATTTTGAGTGTGAACAGAAAACTACAGCTACTTTCTTGCATAAGATATACAGGTCCAAGATACAAACCAGAATACAGGGGGCTCAACAGTTAGTCGACATATGCATCAAAATGTTCTTAAATCAACCGCCTCGTTTTAGTCTTTTTATTCTCTCAAGGGCACCAAGGTGGCTGTCATCGTCCTTGGTCGCAGCAGCACCATCTCCACCCTCATCTTTTTCAGCCTCCTTTCTCTTGTTAGCCAACTCTCCAAAAACAGCAGATGGGACCTCCTTTTGTGCAATTTCAACCCCTTCATCATCTTCTGAATCACTTGCATCGGGTAGCTCAATGTCTTCATGATTTGCAGCAACTTTGATCCCTCCGTCCGTCTGTGATTCTACTCCAGCACTCACAAAGCCCACTTTTCTGTTACTATCTTTGGTGGTAGTACCGTTAGCCACTGGTGCCAACTGCCTCTCTAAAGCAGCCATTTCATCTTCAGGAACTCCAGCCTGTTTCAACTTGTCTTTTGCCTCGTCCATGTTCAATCTCTGATCCTTTTGCATCATATACTCGGGTAGAATAAAGTGTGTCTATAAGAACAAAAAAAAAGAGAGAGAGATTTGAAATGAGCAATTGAGGAATTCTTTTTCTAAGACCCCAATAGAACCTCTATGTTGCTGACAAAAATTAAGGGTAACAAATATTTAAGATAAAAACAAACCTGGCTATAGCTTGCAGAAACACTTCGCTTAATTCGAAGCATCTCTCGGAAGGTATCTTCATTTCCATGTTGCACCTCAAATTCATGCCATTTGTTCCAGAAATCTACATCAGATCGTGGATCCGAAAACTGTGATGCAAATATATATACTCCCCGAGCACGATCAATTTCTCCCAAGCTCTTCTCAAGCTCAGCATACTTCAAGCACATTGTCTTCACATCTTTGTCTGGAAGACCGGATTCTATTGCTTGCTCATATATCTCCCTTGTTTTGGGGATGCCAAATATCTCCGCAGCACGGGCAATGTAGATTTCATACATGCTCAATTTCTCATGGTTTGGAACAGCCTTAGTTGCTTCATCATAGACCTTCATAGCGCGCTTTGCTAGACCATAATCCTCCTCCAGCTTTGCAAATTGAAGATACAGAGGTTTCTTTGCATCAGCAGGCGCCTGAAATACCATTTTCAGGTTAGTAACACAATAAAATAATGATGTACAAAGGCAACATTCTAGCATGTTGAACTCAAACCTAAAAAAGATTTCCAAGTTGTGAAGAGCGCGCACACACACACACACACACACACACACTAATACACATCAGTCAGCAGAGTGATTGGCATCTGCAAACCAGAAGGAGAATCTGGACACGCAAAAAAATACAGGATCTAGCAAGTCAGGCTAAAGGTAGGTTAACATGTTGATTAAAATTAAGTAATTTCCTATGTGCTCCAGATGTCCTCAAGTTTCAACAATTATATTGGTATGTTATGAACCTAAGACCTACCACGTTTTCTCACAATTGAATTCATGGAAATAACAGAGGAAGGTCCTTGCACACTTCAAAACAAGCTTGGCTTATAATAATCAGGGTATCCTCCCATTCATCCCAAGACAGAGTAATAGAGTATTTACAATCGTAGTGTGAAGACAACAAGATAATTATTGGACACAACAAACACAGTGACACAAGTAAACAGCGTTGCAGGCCCCATTGATTGTCAATGAAACGTAGACCACAAGCAGACATACAAAAACCAATTGCAATTAGACCTCAATATCTAGTCAAGTTCACTTTAAACAATGGGTAGTAGGATGCAAGAATGATATGACAAGACAGAATCTCAATAATCAACTTGCTAATCAGATAAAAGTACATTCATTAACCAAACCAAGGTGAAAACTAGTCATGTTCAGCTCAGATAAACTGTGTAATCCTCTACTAATTGTCAAAAAATCAAGAATCCAGTGCTTTAGAAACACAAGAGTAACTTATATTACCAGAATAAAGTCTAAAGGGACTGATAATGTTCTTACCGCTTGAACAGCATCCTCAAATAGCTGTCTTGCACGTTCCAGTTCTTTCTTCCCATATCTCTTTACAAATTTAGAGAGATATGTAACCCATATGTCTTTGACATGTGGGTACTTAAATATTTTGGTACCTTTTTCATACACCTTGAACGCATCTTCAAAGTATTTATGCTCCTGCACAGTCAAATTGTCATCATAAGATATTTATAAGTAAAAATTCAAGAAAAGAGCAATGAAAGGAATGCCATACCTCCAGAAGCAATGCATAATTGATTATGATTTGTGGCGTGGCTATCTTCAAATCCAGTATCCTCTCATAAACAGCCCGGGTGGACTCCAATTTACCCAGGCTCTCCTCTAAATCCACGTAAAAAGTCCAAATTCTTAAAGACTTATGCAGCTTCATCTGAACCGGTTGGTTCCCATCAGCCGCCACTGCAAGAGCATAAGCCAAAGGTCAGAAGTTTAGTTATAGCTCCACAAATGCCACATAAGTTATAGTTCAACAATCAAAACAAAGAAGTGAGAAATAAAATGAGGTGTCTAAACCAAAAGTAGAATAAGAATGGGAAATGAAAAAAAAAAATATGACATAAGCTCAGAGTAAAATTTCTTTCGAGCATTTCTAGAACTGAAATTTAGCAATATCAAAATTATAACTACAACGATGAAGGCACTTCGAAGTCCATGACAATTGTAGATCTCAAATACATTATTTGGAATAATTATTAGAGATAAGACCAAACAAATCAAAGCAAACACCTTTAAATTTATAAGAAAATATATGGCTTCAAAGTATAAAAACAATAGCATAACAATTATCTGCAGGATTCTAGGTTGAAGATATATCGGGAAGTGTTTCTATGTTTGAGAACCATTAAAATACTGAATTACTCAAGCTTCTTCTTTAAAAAAAAAAAAAAAATTTCCAACTCACACACTCTAATAAAATGTAATAACATACTTGAAAGTAGCAGACCAGGACCAAAAAAAAAACACACAGAAAACCAATTAAAGATGATACCTCTGCGTTTCACCTCAACGGATGGCTCTGCGGTGGCCCGCCTCATTAGTTCCAGTGCTCCTTTGAAATTCTTATGCCTCAATTCCATTTCTGCCCATTCACACCAAAGACTAGCCAAATTATCCACTGTCTTGTAGTTCACCTGAACTGCTTTATCAAAAATCACTCTTGCATTTGCAATATCTTTGTGATTCTCGTACAACTTAGCAAACGCAACCCACAACGTATGGGGCTTCCCCACCGCTTTCATTGGATCAACTGTCCTCACCGCCTCTGTGTAAGTAAGTATCTGTTTCGTGGGATTGCCCTCAAAGAGCTTCACTCTTCGGTGCCACTGCTCTACATTATGGGGATTTTGTCGTAAAA